CTTGTTTCCTATTTCAAGTATAGCACAGATTTTTAATACAGTCTTTAGAGTATACAAAACTGAAAAAGTTGACATGATACCTTGAAATGTATCGACTTAAGCTATAATTCCAAGTGACTTAGTCTTTACCTGGAAGCAGAATCCTAGAGTTGAAAGCATGGAGTATTGGGCTAGGAAGGCTGGGCTGAAATCCCAGTTCTACTATTTCTGAGGCAAGAAACTAAGTTGTTATATGCCTCAATTTCCTTACCCAAAATTTGTGACAATAATAGCCTAATTATTATATCACAGAGTTATTGGGAAGATTGAATGAGTTAATAGATGAAAACAGCTAAAAAAAAAAAAAGAAAACAGCTTAGTGTCCTTTATGTAGTAATTGTGTGTAAACATTAGCCACCATGTTGTAGTATCCTCCAATTGTTTGGAAGGTTTACTATTTTGCAATATGCAAATTCTTATATACTTAAATAATCCATATGTTGTCTATGATTCTCAGACACCAACTGTGTGTCCTACAATTCAATTCTTTTATTTTTTTTAAGATTTTATCTATTTATTTGACATAGGATCTACTTATTTGACACACACAGAGAGAGAGAGCAGGGGGAGTGGTAGAAGGAGAAGTGGGCTTCCTGCTCAGCAGGGAGCCTCATGTGGGGCCCGATCCCAGGACCCTGGGACCATGACCTGAGCTGAAGGCGGATGCCCAACTGACTGAGCGACCCAGGCACCCCTATTCAATTCTTTTTTTTTTTTTAAAGATTTTATTTATTTGAGAGAGAGTGAGAGAGAGAGCATGAGTGAGCAGAGGAAGGAGAGGGAGAAGCAGGACCTCCACTGAGCAGGAAGCCTAATGTGGGGCTTGATCCCAGGAAGACGCTTAAGGGACTGAGCCACCCAGGTGCCCCTACAATTCAATTCTGATATTAACTACTCAGAATTAGTGCAGACCCCACAAATTAAGGGCTCAACCCCATAAGACTGCCTCCACTTTAGATGTCTGTTTCAAGTCTTAGGGACAACCCATACTTTTGACCCACTGGCTATAAATCAGGGATTCCCACAACCCCCTGCTGAGGTTCAATAATTTGCTAGAATGGCTCACAGATCTCAGGAAAACATTTTACTTACATTTACCCAGTTTATTATAAAGGATACAAGTGAACAGCCAGATGAAGAGGTACATAGGACAAGGAAAGGAAGGGTCTCCATCACAGGAACCTCTGTCCCTGTGGAGTTGGGGTGTGTCATTGCAGGTGGATACATTCACCAAGTTGGAAGCTCAGCAAATCTCACTGTTAAAAAAGTTTTTATAGTGTTCAATATCCAGCACACCTTCTCCTCCCTGGAGGTTGGAGAGTGGGTCCAAAACCAAAGGAACCAAAGCTTCCTACCCTTTGCTCATTCAGGTGACCAGCCCCATCATGGGGCCATCTGGGGGCCCCACCCTGTCACCGTATTAGCATAAACTCAGGTGTGATTGGAGGAGGCTTGTTATGATTAACGGAAGACACTTCTGTCACTCAGGAAATCCAAGGGTTTTAGGAGCTTCTTGCCAGGAACAAGGAACAAAGCCCAAATGTATTTCTTTTATTGTACCACAGTTGGAAAGGAGTGAGAGAAAATGAATTAATTAACTGCTGCTATTTTATTTTTTTAACTGCTGTTATTTTAAATAGTCTTATCTCAAACTTTTCAGAAGCAAATCCATGACTTCAATTTCAGTTGTCCTACAGTATCAACCATTGTGCCAAATAAGTAATCAATTCATAATAGTAATATCTTGCATTCATAGAATGCTTCATAGCTTTACAAAGTCGTCTCGATGTATTATCTTTGAATCTCACACACTTGTGATGGTCAACATTTTACAGATGATCAAACTGAGATCCTGAGATGTTAAGTTACTTAGCCAGTAAACATATCTTAGAAGAAGCAGAGATATAATACAAACTCAATTCTTCTGATTTAAATTCCAGTCTTTGTCCACTTCACCAAAGATACTAAACTGTACGACAGGTGACTGGTTCTACCTGGTTTGGTCCTAAATCATTTAATTTGTCTGGGTCTTATTTTCTTCATCTGAGAAATGGATCATTAAAGGATTTTCATTTCCAAATCTTAAGATTCTCTCTAAATTCTCTTCTAGTTTTAAAATATCATTTAAATGATATCATTAAAATATTGTTTAAAATACCACAACAGGGGCGCCTGGGTGGCTCAGATGGCTGGGAGTCTGCCTTCAGCTCAGGTCATGATCCCGGGGTCCTGGGATGGAGCCCCGCATCGGAGTCCCTGCTTGGCAGGGAGCCTGCTTCTCCCTCTCCCTCTGCCTGCTGCCCCCCGCCCCCCGCTTGTGCTCTCTCACTCTCCCTGTCAAATAAATAAATAAAAATTAAAAAATAAAATAAAATAAAATACCACAACAGTTGGCTTTTTCTTTGCACCGAAATGTCAACAGTGGAGATAGTCAATAACCATATTTTCACTTTAGAAATGTTCCTAGAAAGCCACTAATTTAGGAAAGACACAACATTTAGTAACATTGGCAAATCCCACTGGTTTCCATTTAAAAAAAAAAAAAAAAAGCAAATACCAAACACTGATGTTTCTAAGGAAAAGTATGTAATATACTTTACTAATTAGTTATGTTGAAGAATAAGTAGGGATAATTTTGACTCCCATGACATCATATGTGTTAAAGGAGTACTCTAAAAGTAGAGGGGATGTATTTATGAAATGTTCTTGATTTCAGGAACATTTCAACCAGACATCTACTTCTTAGACCATTAACATTTCTCTCTTAGAAATTATTGGAATGTGCACAACTTCCTTCTCCTTTTCTATTTCAGGATATGAAAAGCATGTGGGTAGGCTGGAATACTACTTCTTAACCCTCCGTAGGAGAGCATTATTATTGAATAAATCAAGAAATAACAAGAGTCAGGCATCGGAGGGGAGGTTAAGCTAGTAGGTAAATTCTACTGTTTTCCAACATTGAGATTCTACAACTTCATTGTTTCCCCCACCCTAAAATTCATGGCTCCCAGTAATATGAGATGTCTATAACCCACTTTATAAAGCCTCTAAATTCAATATAATAATTTGAAAAGCCTACTCTTCTCCACATTTGATAAAATACTTTTTCCCCCCTCCTTTTAAAAAGTATCTAGATGCAAAGTTCTTACATAATTACACAAAACAAATGCTTTGGAACACAAGGTCCAATCTGAAGCATTATAGGCCTCAAACATTTAATGTCACAAACTATTCATTTGCCTATACTTTTGCAGATACATCACTGATCTGCAGTAACGACTCTTCATAGCAACTCTTCATTTTTCGTAATCTTTTTTTGGATTGCTATACTTAGTCAAATATTTATTGAGTGCCTACTATATGTCATGCACTATGATAATCATTTAGTTTCACATAATTCTTAAAATAAAAAAGGCCATTCACTGCATTTTGGTTAACTTTACCCTTTTATAATAAAATAAAAGGCACTTCCTTTGTTTCTCAAGCAATAAAAACCTTGCTAATTCACTTTCTCAACTCCCAAGTTGTAGAGATATCAAATAGAAGAAACGTGTTGTTTGTTTACAACCTGTTTTCCAATGGAGAAAATAATGCAATTCTGTTGCAGTGACATTAAAAACAAAACAAAAAAGCCACCCTGGGGTGCCTGGGTGGGTCAGTTGGTTAAGCCTCTGCCATCTGCCTTTGGCTCAGGTCATGATCCCAGGGTACCGGGATGGAGCTTCACGGGGCTCCCTGCTCTGCCCCTCACTCATGCTCTCTTACTCTTTCTCAAATAAATAAATAAAATCTTTAAAAAAAAATCTCAAAAGTACGGTTTACTTATAACTAGGAAGAATAAATACAGGAAGATTTCAACAGAGGAAAACTTACAAACACTGAAATGAATTTGACTTTCTGCACAGTCCCAGGAATCAGACCAGCACCAAAAGGTCGAAGTCATAGGAAAGTAGATGTCAGCTTAAAAACAAAATAACCCCCTTTCGAACAACTTTTCTAATACTTAAAGCTGGTTTGAATACTGAAATAGCTTCTCAGGACTACTTGCCTGGAGGTTGTAAAGGAGACTGAAGCACTGGAGGGAAAGTTGAATAACTTTATAAAGTACCTGTCAACATGGATTCCATAACTAACATTGCTATTACGACTTCCTTAAAACCGACAAAACGGGTGACAATGAGTTCTTTCTGAATCCAAGAAGGAGGGTAGTCAAGGTTAGGATTCCTGCTTTTTCACTTTCCAGTATGACACAGCCCTTGAAAAGAGCTCGCAATGATCTGCTGTCCAAATAAATTTGGGGGAATCTCCTACAGGACCTCCCATTAAGAAAACGAACCTTTCTATCCTGGAATGCTCCCCCCCCCTTTTTTTTGGTAAAGGAGGAACAGAGAATTAGGACTCCGAGGACAGAGATGTCCTGAAAGGCGGCGCACTCCCAGGAGAGGAAGTGGGGAGAGCAGTTCCAAGCGAGATCCTACACTGCGTGGAGCTTGGAAGGAAAAGGAGAGGTCGGGGTGGACGGAGTAAAGAGTAGAGACCAGAGAGCGTGCCGGCGTCTCGGGTAATGCGTGGTGATGGGGTGGGGTGTGTTCACCGTGGAGAGAACCCAGCGGCTCATGGGCACATGGGCTGAAGAAGCCGAGAGGCTCAGGTGCCTGACAGCACGCATGCGCGGGCCCGCAGCCGCGGCAGTCACCTTCTGGGTCAACCGCCCGGGTCTTGCGCGGCGCCTGACTGAAGGCGCCTCCGGCCCCAACGAGGAGGCCTGACTCACTTTCTTCTCCTTCCCGCCGCCGAAAGGCCGGCGGCCAAACCAGGCCCGCTGGGCCCGCGACACCAGCGTCGACGGCGGCTGCGACGGCCTCTGGGAGCGCGTGAGGCTCCGGGGTCGCTGCGGCGATTGGCCGGCCGCGGCGCCCGCTCCCATAATGCAGCGCATGGCGCGTCATTGAAGAGAGACCATGATGGCGGCGGCGCTTGGGCCCCCAGAAGTGATCGCTCAGCTGGAGAACGCGGCCAAAGTTCTAATGGTGAGTACACCGCGACCCCCGCACCCTACCATCTGCGGGCCTCCGGCTGGCCCTGCCGTGCCAGGCCTTCCCGCTCGCTGAGCTGGCGACCGGCAAGGGCCTCCAGGGAGCCCTGGAAGTGGAGGAGGTGGCGGTGGCGTGGCGCAGGATTCTCCATCCTACTTTCCTGCTGCCTTCGTTCCCCTCTCTTCCTGGGGCTGTCCACTTCCCCTAGGTGTCTGGCACTCCGGCCGGGCGACGGAATATGGTACTGAAGGAAAGAGGGTTTCCTATGGCACCGTCTTCACCGTACGCCCTGCCCCGCAGACTGGGTCGAGAGCGAGGCGCGAGGAGTGAGGTCCGGGTCATCCCCGCAGGGCTTTGGTCGGGGGGCAGTGGGTGCGCCGCGGGGGAGTTGGTGCCAGGAAGGAAGGAAGGGATGGTCCAGCCCAGGTGCTATTAGCAACCCTTGTTCCCTTCGAGCGTGCGGGTCCTCAAGCTCTTTCACTGATCTGCAGCTACCTCTGGGGTAACCGCAGCCGCCAGCACGTGGAAGGACCGGCAGGAGGGAGGGAGGGGAATCTTTGGGACCAAGGTCACTGGGGCAAAACTTTATTAAGTACCAAGCTCCCTGTGGTCGCGCATTAAGGAGAGCTGAATCTAAGGTGCTTGTTGACTTCGTTCTTAACACTATACAGTGAACAGTTTGATGAGTATGTTATTTGCCCAGGGAGTTTGAGAAGGCTGAGTTAAAGGATAAAATAAGTATTCCACGCAGAGAGTAGAAGTAAGGATAAACTATATTCAGTTACTCAGTAAACTGTGTTTGTATTTTCTGGGTCAGTTCTGTTTTTGTAAATTTTGATTTCCGTGTTTGTAGAATTTTTTTTTTTTTGGAAGTTAGAGGCTCGGTTGATTGCTTGAATTGATCCTGCCTTTCTAAGAATCGAATACAGCTAGCTTCGTTTTATGTATGTATGTTTGTATGTATGTATGTATGTATCTTTCCTTTTCCTTTGGTGCTTGGATTGTATGTTCGAGCATCACGTTTAAAAGTATTTGAACTAATTCTAGCATAGTTTGTAGTTCTACTTATCAAGTTTTGTTTTCACACACAACACCAGATAACTCATGAAATTTAACTAAATTTAGAAGTCTAATAAAAGCAGGGTTTACTTCATTATGAGCAAAGCTAAGTGAATCGTTTTGTCACAAAACTGAGTAAAGTTTTCACTCTTCCAAGTTAAGTCCAGAAAAAACTAGCTAGTATTCTCCTTAATTCTCCAGGTTCTTAAAATCCCTGACTTGGTGTTTCCTGAAATATCTGAAAAATTTCTAGGAGCCGGGGACCCTATTTAGACTCTGGAAGGAGTATGTGATCCCAAAAAACACTGCCTTAGTTCTTACATTGATAGGATAAAATTAGTGTCTTGCACTAATTAGCACTTGTGTTTGCCAGTACCAGTACCGTCCCTCTTCACTGGCAAAGCTGATTTTATCATCGGTAAGGGAGTAGCTGAGAAGAATAGCAATAAGTACTGTTTATTGAGTGCATACTACATCCAGCTACTGTGTGTGATGGTTTACATACTTTATTAATCCTTGCAACAGCTTTACAAGGTTGAGAGAGAGTTTAAGTGGCCCAGATTACATAATTACTGAGTTGATGATTTAGGTTCAGAACTCAGATCTATCTGGCTCTAAAGCTGGGTCTCTTTCTACTCTACCTCACCACCTCTTATATATGTGGATATCCATTTACATACTTTTTAATCTTTCCAGAGAATAGTATTTAAAAAAATGTTATTAAAAATAGGAAATTTGTTTTTGGAAGTTTCCACTTACTAGTCACAAATGTGGACCACAAATGTGTAGGAGTAACAATTACTGCATTATTTCTCGGTATGAAAGCTGAATTCCAATTTATTATTAGTAGTAACAGCTTACATTCATTAAGTGCTTACTATGTGTGAGGTACTATGCCAGGGGCTACCTTATTTAATTCTTACTAACTATAGGGTGGTAATTATTATTTTCATTTTCATTTTATAGACTAAGGGACTGAAACATGTAAATGCTAGATAATTTATCCAAATTTGCAAGGAAAGTTGTAGAGTGGGTACGCCAACTCAGATTTGTGTGTTACCAGTTTGTGGCTCCTAACCTAAAGGGCAGTGCGACTAGAAAGCAAGTAAATTAATTCATTTGGGGATAGTTAAGATTGTTAAATCTTTAACTATTAAGCATTAGAATATTTTTAAAAAGGACGAATGATTTTAGCACTTACCCATCTGTGGGTCAGATGGGTATCCATCTGAGGAAATCTCATTTGTAGGAAATTGCTATATATTTTAATTGTTAATATGTTTTGGGATTCAAAGTAATTAATGATGTCTTTCGCAGTCATTTTGCTTAATTTTTCCATTTGGTATCCATATATTTTTTATGAAATTTGGTGTAGAGTTTTAGTGTGCAAAATAATCTCAAGACATCTTTTAGTACAGAGGCCTTAGTCTACAATGGATATCAGAAGGAAATTGTAAGCAAATTTTTTGGTGCAAACATACATTTTTGGTAATAGGGTTTATAGCTTTTATCAGCATTTCTAAGGAAGTAGAGACCTGAAAAATAAGAACCTAGTCTATGCATTCTCCCTTCCGTTCTACAGATGGGGAAACTGAGGTTCAAAGAGGTAGAAGTGACTTGCCGAAGGTAGGTCACAGAACAAATTAGTGAGAAGAGTGATCCAAAACCTAGATCACCAGACTCCTATTTCGGAATTTAAAAAATTTTTTACTCAGCCATGTTGCGTCTCAAAGTCAACATATTATAATACCATAAATGTTACATTTTATTGCTTGATGGGAAATTTTGAAATGTGATTTTGGATATTGCAGTTGCTTCATTGTAAATATCTGTATTCAGTCCTATTTAGGTTATTGGATAAGCTGCCAAATAGTGTATTAGACCTTTAGAATGAAAAGGATTTTTATTGATTTTATAGATCTCAACACAGTGATTCTCCCTCTGCCTCAAGTAGTAACAGGGAGTATTTTCTGTAGATGCTTGCAAGTACTGCTTAATCTTCTGATTCAAGACAGTGAGGTTACTTGCTAGAAAATAAATTTGAAGGTGAAAAAACTAGAATGAGGATGGACTTTTGTAGGTTAGCAGCTGTGCAAGTGAAGTTATCTATTCTGAAAGCATTGTGCAGATGGAAAATTATTTAAATAGGTCCTGAACATTTCTTCTGCAAAAAAGATTCCATTTATTGGCTTTTGCTTAAGATACCTAACCCTAAATTTTTGAGAGTATGTTAAATATATACTAGAGTAAGTAAAGTTGACCACACTTCAGTGCTAACATTCTTATTAGTGAGTCTTCTCTCTGACTGCATGAATTTAGTAGGTTACGTTACAGACCTGAAAATTTGGTGTTGTAGACACATTTTCTGTTATTTAAAATTATAGCAGTAATACTGGAACATATTTTAAAGTATAGCACACAAATACACAATAAAAAATGAATCTCCCTCTTCTTCCTTTCCCCACTCTCAGTCCCCCTTCCCTAAGCAGTCTGTATTAAGTTTGAATATGCCTTTTTTTCCTGTGCTTTTATAATACACATTGTATAGTTTTTCTTTTTTTTTTTTACATGAATGAGAATACTATAAATATCTGTAATTTAAAAAATTTTGCAGATACATTTCTGAATAGTAAGAAATTCAAGTTGTGCAGAAAGGTGTATAGGGGAAGGTAAAAGTTCCCTAAGCTCCCATTGCCTTTTCAGACATGGCTGTTTCTTGAGTACACATGTTAAAAATCTCTAGGCGGGGCACCTAGGTGATGCAGTTGGTTAAGCATCCCACTCTTGATTTCCGCTCAGGTCATGATCGAGCCCTGAGTTGGTGTCCGTGCTCAGGGCAGAGTCGGCTTGAGATTCTCTCCCTTTCCCTCTGCCCCACGTGTGTGGGTGTGTGGGTGTGTATGTGTATGCGTATGCATGCGTGCGCATACACACTCTTGAATGAATCTAAAAGAAATCTCTAGGCATATAAGAGCATACCTACATCATTTTTATTTTTTATTTTTCCATTTGGTTTCTTTTTATACCATGTAAATATTTATTTGTGGGTAATTATAGATCAGTAGGACCAGCATAAAAGTAACACAGCGTCTACAATGCTGATAGCAATTTTACGATTATAAACACATCCAACATAGAGAGTACTTAGGGCTGGTAGGCCCCAAGGTTAACAAAATCATGTCTGAACCTCACAGAGATGGTCATTCTCTCGCGGCTGGCACCAAGGGTGACGGGGACGTTGTTCTGAGGCTGCATAACTGCCCCCGCCTTCAAGAAGTACACACATCATTTTTAAAATGTATATTTTTACATTAATGAAATTGTGTAATCCATATCTTCCTGTGCCTTTCTTTATTCACCTCCCTGTGGATGGATTGTAAAGGAAGTTTATTTCCATTTTGTGTGTGTGCATGAATAGATATAAAATGTAGGATGTGTTTTAATTTTAGAGACATCATAATGGAAAAGTTTAGTGTTCTTTCAGTATTAATAGCGTATTTGTTTGAACAGCAAACCTGAAAAATGTTTTATTTATTTTCTTGAATTTCTTGAATTTCCTATTTTGTTTTCCTGGCTTGCCTGAGCTGTTAGGGATTGTCCTTTGTGAGTGTGTGTAGTGCTAATATAAGATGTTGCAGAGTACATATGTTAACTGATACTTCAAAGAAAAATAATTTACTACAATTGTTTTAAAACCAAAATGGATTTAGTAAGTGTAAATGCAGCTTTAATTAGAGCGATTTTATGATTGGTTATCATGGTTTTTATTGTAGTGGAATCTGGCTATTATTTTGAAAGCATCTGCAAAATTGTAGTGAGATATAAAAAGTTCTTATTTTATTCTCACATCAATCCTGTGAAGTAAATAGAAGAGATATTAAACTTTATAAAGAAAATCTGAGATTCAGAGATGGTAAGTGATTTGCCTGTGGTCC